CTTCCTAGCCCTCCAGGATTATCTAAAGTGGTTCACACAAAAGAGAATAAAGCCAATACCTCAACAAATATGAAGTCTTTCCTGAAAACATTTCATGTTCATGTATGTTGTACCATATATGCGTATATATTTACATGTATCGAACAGACATGTATATATGTAAATGTAGAAGCCCAGATGATATGAAGTGTTTTTGTCAATCATTGTCCACTATATTTGCTGGGGGAGGATCCCTTCCTGCACATCCCCTTTACTCTAGCTAGTTGACCCACTCACTCACTCTGTCTTAAATGGATCCTGGGGATCTGAACTTTAGTTACTGTACTTAGTTCACAAACACTTTATCCACTTAGTGGACCGCTTCCCCGTCATTTAATAGACTTTTTTTGTGAAATGTTTGTACAGTTCTACTTTAGGTTTTAATATGAGCAGAAGTATTGAGGAAATAAATTAATTTTCTTTTTAATACCTGTCTCTTTATTGAAGAGGCCTATTAGTACATTCCATGATAATTCACTTCCTGATGCTTTGCCACCATTCCCTCCTCATTCTAAATTTGTGAAATGGGTTAGTTTTTACAGTTCTCTTTAAAAATGGTAGAGGGTGAATTAGGTCTTTGCTGTACATGGTGAGATTTTTGAGTCTCTAAAGAGAGCGGTGGCAACACTAAGATGAAGGATTAACCCCAGTGCCTCTGTATTAAAAAGGCCTGGTGTACTGTTCAGCAACCATAGTGCCATGCACTCATTTGGCTTCTACAGAATGCTTAATATGTGTTATAGCACAAAAGACATCTTCTTGGGCCTCAATTAGTTCTCATGCAGTGCCCAGAAAACTGGGCCTAAGTTTTCTCATTTTTCACATACACATATTTATTTATTTATATAAGTTTTCCCCTTGCGTTTCTTCACTCTCACTCCTTGCATGTACCTGTGACCCCTGACCTCTCTCCAGTGTATGCCCTTTGTCTTTATTATTACACAGATCTACATAAATACATGGGTATATGAATATGACATGCTTGGTCTGCTTAGTGCTGCCAAGCCCTCACTGTTTTCCCACTTCCTCCTCCACATAATGTGTGTCCTATTGCTTCCATAGCAAGCTAGCAAGCACTCCAGCCTCGCACCATTTCTTTCCTGATGTCTATAGTTACTCTAGGTTATAAACTCAGATCCAAAATTTGGACCTAGGAGCTAAATGATGGAAGAGAACATGCAGTATTTATTTTTGGTTTTTGTTTTTGTTTTTTGGGGGGGTTTAGAGATTACTACATTCAATATTATATTTTTTAGTTCCACCTATTTACCCACAAATGTCATGTTTTTACACACCTTCACTAACTGCATTCACCATATTTATGTATCATTTAGAAAAAGATTCAAAATTTTCTCCAAGACAAAAAAAAAAAAAAAAAAAAAAAAAAAAGGTCAGATGGCACTGCACAAACCCAAACCCTGACACTGAGAAAGAATCTGAAAGGATCTGTATGTATTCTCTGTAGATACAAACAGCCTCCTTGTCAATTGTGATCTAGAATAGATCACAGACTGGGGGAAACTGCTCAGCTGATTTCCCTTGGTGTCACCAACACTGTCTTGCTTCCCTCATTTGGGGCAAATGTTTGTGAGAAGAGAGAGAAGATCAGCTTGCCTTTTAAGTTCACAGACCTCAATGCACTCTACTTTCTGTTGAGTTTGTGTAAAACTCTTCCTTTAACGCCACATAAAATTCTGTTCATAATCAGAACCTCTCTTGAGATCCCAAACCAAATTCCTGTGACCATGCGTGAACTCCACCCTGGAAGAGAGTGTTCTGTCCTCTCCAGAACCAGTTCCCTTGCTTCAATCAAAGATGCTCAGGTTTTGCCTCTCATTTACAGATATTTTAGTTTCAAAAACACATTGCATCTTCATATCCTCACTAGAACCTGTCATGGGTAATATCTGTTGAACAGTTGCCCCATTGTTAACAATTATAATTTTTAAAAACTGAATTTGAAATGAAAAAATATCTTATGATGTAAAATTTACAGCAGAAATAGGTACAAAACCCCTTAGTACATCACTCCATTCACTGAAAATTATTTCTAAAATGAGATTCAAATGACAATAAAATAAATTTTGTCATTTATTAGTCAGAGATTCATTACAAAATTTATTTATATCTTTAGAAAGAGTTCCAATCACAAATAAATCATAGGATTTAAAAATACAAGTGGTAAATTGTGCTTGACATTTGCAGATATTCTGTGTAAGAATTAAAACTAAATGCTTATGTTCATCTAACAAATGTGGGCATAAAACATATCTTAAAACAAAGCTATGACATATATTTGTAGTTTAATAACTACACCTATTAGGTTTATTCATAAATAACCCAAAACAAGGAAGTTAGGTGGGTCAAGAGTTGAGGGTTGTAGGATGACTCTAGAAGGAGTTGGGGACGTCAGTGAATATGATTAAATATATTGCATAAAATTTTCAAATAGTTAATATATCATTATTAAAGAGAGAGAAATTTGAAATATAATTAATAATCGACATTAGATTCAAATTCTCATATAAGGTTGGATTCAAGGACAGTTATATCTGTAAGGCATTTGATCCCTCAGGCCACAGATAATTCAAAAGCCTCATTTATATACCTAAAAATGGTAACAGCCAGTAACCTTAAATGCCAATGATATTAATCCAGCTTTAAACAAATTACAAAATTAGTGCAAATAATGAGGAATATAGTCACAACCCAGTGGGAGAAATATCTATTGTTGCAAACTATTTGCACCAAATGAAAGTGCTCATCACACTCAAAAAAGGACAGAGATTTTGTTCATCACTTTATCTTGTAAAATATTAACTGATTCACTGCAGAGAAAAGTTGAACCCATAAAAGTCAGAGCATGCACTCAAATAATAAAATTTCAAACTCTTACTAAACATCAACAAAATAATATTCCACATATAACTCAAAATAGATCAGCAATTTCAAGGTATGATTGTAAAAATATATAATTCCTCAGACACTGCCTTTCATAATACAAGTCCAAATGAGTGATAAATGGAATGTAATTTCTATAAACCAGGCTGAGACCAAGTTGCTTTGAAACAATGTCAAAAGCTGTGATATGTATGTGGCTGTTCTTTGTGCACCAAATGCACTGTGCTGAACATGGGCATTTCTTCATGGCATGCATCCCATGATCCAACACTTAAACAGTGCAACATAAATACCTGCTATCTAATTCTGGCTTTCTGTTTATTCGACTTTCAAAATAATTGTGTTGTTTACTCGATTCCTAGTGGAGTAACATACAATCAATTCTAATGTTCCATTTGCTATTCTAAAATGAGATTGATGTCACCCACCAGACACATGGATACTAGAAAGAGGCATTTCTCTGAACAGAAAGCTGTTAAAATTTCTATTGCTCCATAAGTTTGGAAAACATTCTAGCAAATACTATTAGGCCCTTCATGAATAATAAGTAAAACTGACTAGCAATAAAGATGATAGCATAGATTATTTGATATGATGATCAAAAAATCAGAGAACAAAAAACAAAAGAACATCTTTGTTACATAGGATTCTATACTTCTAGATGGTACACATTTCAGACACAGATTCCGTGAAGTGAGTGACTGAGACAGAATGGGAGAGAGAGAAATAGCAGTGGGTATTATGCAAACAGGTATACATCCATGATACATTCTTAATTATGGGAAGAACACAGTGAAAAAGACAAAAACTTGTGTGAACATTTCTTTAATCTCGAGAGGTACGAATCCTTAATGTTAGTGTTTGCACTGGGGCCATGCACAGTTTGAAAAATAGTATGTCTCTACTGGTAGATGCAAATGGTTCCCCGATACAAAACTGGCTCACACTGAAGAATGTTATAATCAGAACAGAATTTGTGAGGCTAAGTATATATTGCTTATGGTTATTTTCCTTGTAAGGTGCGCCCTATATAATATCTGCATTGCTTATCAAAATTAAAGGGAAGGATAGGCTGGGATGACATCTTGGATTAAAGCTGATGGAACCCACACTCTCCTCAGAATGTTAGTGATGATCTAGTCTAATTTCTATATTCTAGAGTCAGGAAAACTAAACCTTCAAATAGGTTAACCTCTGTAGGAGTCTAGTGCTCAGGACATATGTCACAGTGCCTTGTCCAATGTAGAATTGAAGTATCCTATAAATATTTTGAGGGAACCACTGAATGAAGGATGCACAAGAATAAAGCAACAGCAAAAGAAAGCTAAACTACTCTTTTAGTGACAGAGTTGTCAGGGTCTGTGTAGCTTAGGAAATCTTTCTCTCCCTCTCCTTTTTAATTTTAAATCAAAAAAGTTTGAACCATACTGCTCAAACTTAACAATGCCAGATGCCAAAAGAAATAATTATACCTCATAGCACTTTAACATAGCAGTAATTCTTTGACTGCTATAATTTTTCATTAGTATTGCTTTTCAGTGAGGTTAGCATGGTTAAAAAGACACTTTGACAATAGCATCATGGTGACACTCAATTATTTGATCTTCCCTGGACATAATGTTGCTCACATTGATACTGTGTCTTCAGTAGTGCTGATGGGCTGCCCCCCATCTGTGAACATTCAGTAGCAAGTATGTGAGACAAAAATAGGGCTCATGCCAAGAGTAATAAAGACAAGCAGAGGAGTAATAGAAACAACATTTAGACCTTTTAACCAAAAATGATATGCTGTTAATCTGGCCATAATTGGAAAAGTACATTGTGGCCTTGAAAAATATATGTGATTAGAAAATACATTTCCAGGCATCAGACAAAGAGAGAAAGCCAACTGCAGGTATGGACATGTAAACAAGTCAAATATGAGTAAAAGAAGAGCAGATATCCACTAGTATGGTTTCTTGACAACCATATCCTATAGCTTTAAGTATGTAACTAAAGGGACACTGGCAGTGGCAGGCAAAAGCTGCTGTGTTCTGGATGGTTCATGTGGAAGGGGTCTTTGTAAACAAACATCCTGGCAGTACTCTGTAATAGAGGAGCTGTCACTAAGGCTCCTTAGGGACCCAGGTAAATTTCCAGCCTCCCTCCTCATCTCGACGCACAAAAGCTTGTCCCTGATGGAAAGAATGTGTTTTCACATTGCAGTGAGGACTCAGAGATGTAGAAAAGGCCACCTCTTTCTTGTTGGGTGACACGTCTGCACTGGGGTAAGGAAGAGTTTGCACCCCTACCGGAGGATTACAAAGCCTAGGAAAACAGTGACAGTCTTGCTGGTGGATGGTGGTGACATGGGAGGCATGTGTTCTGTTCCCTCCATAGTCAAGGAGTTGGTCTCTAGGAACAATCTCATAGTCAATTGTATCATGTAGAAACTGGGAGGATGTATTGGGGACTGTTCTGGAATGAGAGGTAATGGCACTGTAGTTAGCTGGTTGGGTATCATCAATGGTGTTGAGGTCCTTCAACCCAAGGGTTTGAAGAACCCAGGGGTCCACACAGGGCCCAGCTTGTTCCTGACAGTTAGAAAATTCTGTGGAAAGGTTTCTCTTGGCAGTTTTGGACTGGGGTATCTCTGCAGCAGAGTGTCTGTGTTCTTTGGGTTTCCTCTTCTCTTTTCTGAGTTTTCCACATACTTTAGAAAAATCATCTGATGACAGCAATTTCTGAAAAAGCAATATCTGAAAATTTTATTTCTTTTGGATATTTTCTCTTTGCCCATTTGCATACAAAAAAAAAAAGCTATCTGTCTGAGTATTCCCACACAAGTAAACCCAGTCACTTAGCTACTGTTTGTTGAGTAAACATCCTTAATGTTATCACTTCGTTTCACATTCTTTATTCCGTTTTTAAAAATTGAAGGAAGCAGATGAAATCTATAAGATTTCAACTAAAAAATAAACGTTGATGTCAATAACAGTTGTCACTTATTAAACTTATTTATAAGTAAATACAGTAGGATTATAATTTATAAACTATTGCTTGTATGTTTCCTCATGGAAAACAGATTCTCTTAAAATAATAAAGACACATACATATTAGTGATCAGCTGAATACTTCTTTGTTTAGTTTTAAATCTTATGTATCTGAATCTAGACAGAACCTATGATTTCAACTAGTCAACATCTCCTACTTTTTATCATACTAACTTTCAAAACACTCCCATGTCATGTGTTACATTATTCTAAATTTAGAAAACTGATATCAAAAGAATTAAAAATTCCCAATTAAAATCACTTAAGGATCTTTTATGAATTGATATCTGACATTAGGATCCCAGAATAATTACTATAAGGATGTGTTTGTTTTAGTTAAAGCTAACTGGGTTACAATGGAGTCAAATTTAATGACTCTCTCTGAACTCAAAAGTAGAAGGCAGCATCAAATCTAGAATAAATAATGTCAATTTGTCTAGAAAGAAGATAAAACTGATGCTAGACATAGTAATGAGAATGATGGCAAGTGCAAACTAAAGTGAAAAATCAAAGAAAGAACAAAAAGGTTACAGGTGAGTTAAAGTTATCCTTGAGTTAAAGCAGTTCACTTAAATGTGCATGGAAAGAATGCTTGCATATCTGTAATCACTAGTGGAGACACCTGGGCCCCAAGTATATCCATAGCATTTCAGATTCAGAGATATCTCCTCCCTCGTTTATGTGTGTGTGTGTGTGTGTGTGTGTGTGTGTGTGTGTGTGTGTGTGTGTGTGTGTAGTCATCCCAAGGTTGAGTTGAGTGTCTGCATGTCTTCCTCTATACTTTCCACTGATCTTCCTAGACTGGATGGCCAGTGGGATGCAGGGATCTACTGGTCTCAGCTTCCCTATGATCTACTAGGGTCACAGAAGAGTGCTGCTGTGCCTGGCCTAATATAAACACCTCAGGATCCAAACTCACTTCTCCAAAGACGCATATAATGCACTTTACTTACTTAGCCATCTCCATTGGCCCCAGAGAGATTCTTACCAAAGCCCTTGGTTCATCCATTTACCAATTACAAAAGCAAAGGCCTAAGAAAGAACTTTAGCTAACATCTAACACATAATTAGAACTACTGATATTCTTTTTTTACATTTGATTTCTATTCCAATTCTCCACTCTTTATTAACCCCTGTAGTTTTAGCAATCCGTCTGATTAACTTTTGCCCTTAATTCCCTGTGTGATGTTAAGCTAAAATCTGAAACTAGAAACTTCTGGAAAAAATGCTATATAAAAATCCTGTTGAAGTTATATATATTTCCTTAAGGATAATCTCCATCCTATTAACTCCCATGAAAACATCCCGTTCCATAAACTTCATGTATTTAATCATGGGGTGTCACGGAGTGATTTGCTCTGTCAAGTTACTGCCTTGCACTTGGAAAACAGATAATTACATACCTTGGCCTTTTCTTCCAGACATTTAACCAAAGTAGAATTCAGGTATTGTCTGAGGTGATTATTCTCTTCATGTAGTCTAGCAAGTTCTTCCTCTTTCTGTAGCAGAGTGTCCTGGAGCTGCAAGATGCATACAATAGTGAAGGGTGCTCCCCTCTATTGGCTTTGTAACCTAATAATATTGCACTGCTCCCCAACATTCTTGGATTTGATTATTCTTGTTTGTTTTAGGAACATAGTTTCAAAGAGCCCTGGTCCTCTGAGTCTTACATTAAATCTACCCTCCCTACCACCTGATTGTTCAGTTTTTGTGCACTGTGTATTCCATTCATTACAAAGTATTTGAGGAGATCAGATGACTTTCAGAACTGTAACCACAGGGAATCAGGGGAGTGTGAAGGAAAGTGAACCACACGGAACTGTTTAAATATAAGAGGGATGGTTAGAAGGCTTGGCCAGACTCCTTCTTTGCAGTTAAGAAAATAAAAACAGGAGATGTGACCTGGCTTTTCCCTGCCCCAAACCTGTGTGTCCAATAAATAAAAGTGTTCATCAAGAACAACCACACATGAAACCCAGAGGAAGAAATGATCTTTGGGAAACTTTTACCACCAATCCTCCTCTCAAAGATGAGCCATGGTCATTGCTTAAAACACTACTGTACTCATCCTCTGGTTTTTGCGGCTGCACTCAGATAAGGGCTGCAGAAGTATTTTACAGATAGGGGAAAGAATTTGGTTAATTCAGAGGTCAATCATGGGTTTTCTTGGAGCTTTTGTTTCTGTGAATTTGTTCATTTAACTTTTATCTCTTTGGACACAAAATTACTATTGTATGTCACAACAAACACTGAGCCATGGTGAATTTAAAAAAAAAGAAAGAAAGAAAGAAAATATTTAAAACTAAAAAGCAATATGAAATGAAGAGAGCCTCAGGGGAGAGTGTACTTTATGGAACCAGGTTGGTCTCACTACCTATCCGTACCTGCTTATTTCTATAGAGCTGAGAGGAGAGCTGAGCTTCTTCCCATGAACATGGATCCAGAACAGGGAAATTTAAGTCACAGGATGCTTCTATGTAAAAACAATGAATGAACATATTTAGAATTACTCTATAAAAACTCACAAACTACTTCTGAAGTTTAAAACCTTTAATTACTTTTATTTCACACAGGGAAACAAGACTTTGTAAAGATTTCAGAAGAAAGGGAGCAAATATTTTTGCATTGCCTACAAGTGGCAGATATATTTTAGGAGCTGAGCGGTTCCTAAAATGTGTGTATATATTCTTGCTGGATAAGTTAATAAAGGTTGCCTCTTCCATATTTGAACGTCATAGAAATAATTACTGACTGCGCCTTTCCAATAGGCACAATATTGCAATTGCACTAGCCCTTTCTAGTGTTATTTTTTTATGTTTAACACTTGATAGCAGTATGCTTGGCTCCATAATAAGATCCTATATTTTGATGCTGCATTTTCCTCTCACTTGTCTTACTTGTGAAGTCTGAACAGCAGACTGTGCTCAGAATTTTATGTCCTGGTATGCTAACATTTTCCAGCACTAATTTATTTATTTATTTATCTATTTATTTATTTATTAGTGCTGGACATTTAAACTATGACCTTGTACATACTGGAAAAGCACTGCACTGCTAAGTCAAATTCCTACCCTTTACTCCCAATTTGCCTTAATGAGAGGCTCCTTGTTTCTCTGAAGAATTCTATGCTAAACTATACCTGATCTATTTCAAAGGTCTATGTCTGTATATTTTAATGTTTTATCAAGGAATGTTTTTCAAATTTTACAGCAAGCTCTACCCAACAATGAAAAACTCCCCCAGCCCTTGACTTCATTCTCACATTTGACCTGCAACATTTAGTAATACGTTGGAATGATAAGTAAGAAAATAAAAATAAAACTTGAAGAATCACTCTTCACTTTCTTTTGCTTGGAATAAAACAACAAAACTGAGCAGCGACCTCCATGACATGTGTTTCATTCATTTCAGTGTATGCTTCAGCCTCTTTCATACCCCTCTTCCCAGTCTCTAAAATACCTTGAGGGTAGAATGAATGCACAAGTATTCTGAGGTGCCTGAAAACTTTACAGAAACCAAGCATTAATACAGAAATCCCAGCCATATGTGTAAGAATATTCATTAAGCTTCAGGCCAATGTGTTATCTATATTTTCTACCAACATTGGACATCTCTCTAAAGCTGAAGTGTATATATGAAGGGAGAATGATTATTTTTGTGGATGAAGCACTGTGCACAAACTTTGTACGATGATATTAAATGTGTTACTTAGTCTTTATTTTTCTCTCAAGGCCACACGAATCACACCAAATTACAACATAAATATTCTCCCTTATGTTTTGACTCCAAAAAATAATGTGCTACTAGAGTGCTGTTTATAAAACTGTGCTGCATACACAAAGTTACTCATGAGGTGGCAATCTCCAAGAATTATGGAATATAGGAAATACATGTTGTCTAGCACACAAGAGAAAGGTTCTCAATTTTCTTAGTTGAGTACAGAACAATTAGTTTTACTGAAGGAAAAAAAAAAAAAACAGGAGTCTTAGTGCTTACTTAAATTGTCTGTAATATCACTGTCTCTGTTGAGTCCCAGTCCTCAACGCTTACAATTACGGGACTGGAAAAGACCCATTCTACAAGCGAAGCAGAAGCGTGGAACTTACCCTGTGTCTGTGGTGCTTGTTGGGGCTCAGCGTTGTCCAGGAGACTAGCAGCCCAGAAAGAGACCCAAGTCTCCTTGGAAACGTCAACACTAGATTCTGACGTTGTTGTGGAATACGGGCAATTATAACTCTGGCCTCCTACAAAATACGGATCTTGGCAAGACAGAATGCTGTTCTGTGAATTTCAGTTTGATAGGGGTGTGGGAGATGGTATGATGCCATTGGGAGGGGGAGAGAGTGGGAGAAACATGGAGAAATTATATTTGGTAAAGCACATAAACAATAAAAGCAGTAACTATAGGTCCAGCTACATAGTTGAGTGGTATGATTATAATTATTTAAAAAGACCGGGTTCTTTGAATTACTCACTACTTTCCTGAGGCTTTTCACCAAATAACTAGTATTGGGTAGTCCAGGTTTATAAACATCAGAGGAGTATATCCTATTGTAGTGACTGGCTCAACTGATAAGCTGCTACCCGGAAACTAAGTAAAAAGAACTAGACTTCACGATCCAAAAATATAAGAACTAATTGTTGCTCTGTAGTAGATAGCTTGGTGTAAAAAGGATTAAATTTCATGACTGAAAAAAATATATAAGAACTACTTGTTGCTCAGTAATATATATCTTGATAGAAAAGGATTATGTTTCACAATTGAAAAACATAAGAAATGCTTGTTGCTCTGTAGTAGATAGCTTGATTGTATTCTATAAACCTTGAAAGGCAAAGATCACAGACGTCAAAGGGTTAAGTGGACAGTTTTACATGGCATCATATCAAGGAACTTCTTAATTCGGGAGCCTGAATCAACTGTATGTCTTACATTAGAATGGATAAACATGTACATGCGTGCATGTATATAAAGGTGATCACATACATTTCCCCCAAATCCAGTTAATACGAGTAAACAGTCAAAAGCTGAGAATAAAGGCAGTGGGTTCTAGTTCGCTCCATAGTTAACACTCAGTAACCTTTCCAAGTTGCTGTGCTACTAGTAGCTGTCTGGCATGCCTTTCTCCACTGCGTTCTGACTCAGTGAACACCTTCCTGCCCCGCCCCACTCAAATGTGGTCTCTCCAAACAGCCATGCAGGGGTAGGCAATCTGCCTCCTTCCTAGCTTAGGCTGTTCAACAGCCCGTTCTTAATTTATGTGTCAATGTTTAATCAAGTCAAAAACATCCCTTACAGCAGAATCCAGGTTTGAACAAACACTTTCGGGCTACTCCATGACTGGTGCTGCCTTGATGACTTTCTTGGGCAAAACGTAGAGAATCAGAGAGTATGGGAAAGGAAGAGGGTGGAGAAAAAGAGGGAGAAGAGGAGGAGAAAAATTAAAAGTACAAACGTTATTACTATTCAGTCACTGGAGTCGCCCTAGGGCCCTGCTGCCAGGGACTGAAGGGTTGAAAGGGTACACTACTGAGGCAAGCACAGCTTGGGCAGCGCTGCCTGGAGAAATTCAGCCAAAAGTTTATCAAGTGCTATTTTCTTTTATTCTAAAAGTATGTTTGTAGTCTCCCTTTTTATGAGGTTATTCTTGGAATCAGAGCTAAGTAAGCTATTGAGCAATCGACACCTGAGAGGAAAACAAACCCCAAACACTCACACTCGTGAGCATTTCTAATCTAAGTGTTTGCAAATACGTGCATAATCTAGATGGACAGGTGGAAGGGAAGGAGGTCTGTGAGGGGTGAGGGAAAACGGGTGGAGTGAGGAGGCAAATATGCAAGGGGAGGGAAGAGAGGAAAAGGGTGCAGGGCAGCAGAAATGGCCCATATTAATTGGAAAGTTCAAAGACATTTCCCAAGGCAGAATCCATTCTCAGGGCAGTTTATACTCTTCCAGAGTTCCCGGGATTCTGACAGGGTGACTAGCTAAGGCCAGCTCCTCACTTACCATCTCGCAGAAGAAAGCGCTGGAGAAACTGGGCCCACTCAGTTTTTTCTTAAAGCCAGAATTAACTTTGAATGGGACTGCAGAGAGTAGTAAGGAAGCAAGTTCTAATCCGTTGGAGCAGCGAGGAAGGCGCGTGCACAGATGCTGCTCTTTGATTTAATGCAAGGCTGTCAAACAGGTGAGCCTGGGGAGCCACCCAGCCTAAGCCACAGGCACTCGAGCTGCGGAGACACCAGTACCTGTGGGCTAAGGAAGGACCCGGTGTTCCAGACCACTTGGAGCAGTGCTTCGTCAAAGCTTGTGCCTGTGCGAGCTGAGTCTATGGAGTCTACCTGGAGCTGTAGCTGCTGGCGATGGGGATTCAGCTGCCCTGCTCCCTCTGTGCCACGCGCCCAGCAGCCGGCAGGGCGGGGTTGGGCAGGGCGGCCAGCCAGCCCCCAGCGGCATCCAAAGCCCAAACCTTGGTCTCTGTGAAGCACTAAGGAAGCCCATCCAAGGGAACCTGGTGTGAGTGACTTTCTGTTCATGCCCTGCTCACAGGATACAAGTGATGGCAACTTAATAACGGCGACTTGATTTTTATTTTATCAAGGAATCTTATTTCACCCAATTCTTGCAATATTTAAATGTGAGGGCAAAATGTTATCAATCCCAGAATATGCGTTTTCCAAGACAAATATGCCACATCTAACTCCATAACACTGTGGACAATGGGCTGCACACAAATACTCAATAAAATTTTGTTCAAACAATGAATTAATGTTTACATTTAAGAATCTAAAGTGCTTTTCTCTGAGTTGGACTGATGCATACCACAATTACATAAAAAGTTTTAAAAATTATGATTGAGCAAAGAGATATCTGTCTATTCTTCATAAAGTAGTAAATTCCCCTGTCTTTAATTTCATTCTCACATGTATCTCCATAATGTTTAATCTAGGGATGAAAGAGAAGCTTTCTTCAGACAAACTTCAGTAGCTACTCCTCACTTGTTCTCATCACCTAAATGGATACAACACAGTGAACAAATGGGAACCAGCTCCATCAAGTCTGTAAATATCCTTAGTGGTCTCTAAGACCCACAGCCAGACACACCTGTCTAATACTGAACGAGGCACATAGACAAACTGTGGAATCTGCCCCCAGCAGATAAACACACATGTATAAACTAGAGAATCATATTCAATTAAAGAATGAAATAATGTCATTTGCAGAAAAAATTGATAGTCTTAATGCTAAGTGAAATGAACAAAACTCAGATGAGCAAAACGCTTACATATTCTCTTGTATGCAGAATCTCTATTTCAAGTGTGTGTGTGTGTGTGTGTGTGTGTGTATTGTGTTCAATAGGAAGTTACTATTTTGCTTTTTGATAAGAGGAAAAGGGCCAGCAGATGAAGGGGACAAGAAAGGATAATGCATGTAAATATGAGAAAAGTACATGATGTACAAAAATGAAAATGTTATGAGGAAGCCTGTTATTTTGTACAAAAAATATTGTTACTAGTAATTAAAAATAACTAAAGAGGTTGATACTCAACATAGGATCCAGGTACTAGTATTCTCTCAGTTTAAAAGGAAAACCCTGTGGATAAGAATATGGACACTGTTAGCATGATAGGCAAGTGTCAGACAGAATTTAGATCTCAGGCTAAGGTAACCATGCTTCATTTTACTTATTCCTAAGCAAGTTAAATTTGACACTCTAACTCTTTGTACCACATTGCTGTCTGTGTGTGACTGGCACTGTTATAAACTGATTTATGTTACCTCCATATTCATAAGTTGAAGTTCTGGTGCTCATGTGACTATGTTTAGAGAAAGGGTGTTCAAGAGACATAGCTTAAATGTGGTCACGACTGAACCCTATGTTTGATATTATCATCAGAGGTCAGGCCTACCAGGAACCTGGATGGCACACACACACACACACACACACACACACACACACACACACCCAAAAAAAAAATAAATAAAAATAAAAATAAAAAGGTCATGTGAGTTCAGAGTGAAGCCAGTCATGAAGGGAAGGCTCAGGAAAAATGAACAACTCTGCAGAAGCCTTGGTGGTGGGCTTCCAATATCTGAACTGAGGATAATCTTCCTGTGACAATGATTGGTGGGTAGACATAGCAAACCAATGTGTGCATGGCACAAAAACTGAGGAGCAAAGTTCAAGTCCAACTTACATATAGTTCTTTAGAGAAAAGTAGACCTTTCTTAGATTGTCCTCTTCCTCTAAGGTCATGCATAGATTTAGAAAAGCCAGGAAGTAACCAACCGCTCAGTAACCCAAGATCAAAAAAGCTATAAAGAAAGAAATGGGAGAATGTGCCAGAAGAGTCCTTTCTCCTTCCCTGATAATATTTATTTTTTAAAAAAGATGTAAATGAATACCACTACCTGTGAAGAGCACTGCATTAAAAATAGGCAAGCTGGATCACTCAATGCCAGCTCATTCCAGTGTGTCCTAAGAGAAAGCAGTCCCCACTTTTCACTTGCAGTACAAAGGACAGAGTTCCAGAGCATGAGGAGTAACAGATCAAATTCACTTAGATCTTGCAAATCTACAGTCTTATTCAAGGCAGAGTTCTTGATGCTTTAGTCCTGCAAATAGCTAATCTCTCTAATAAAACTTGCTTAGTTTTGTGATGAGCACAGATGATGGAAGATGTTATTCTGTGTATGTTTCTCATACTGATTAATGAATAAAGCACTGTTGGCCAATAGGAAAGGAGATAGGAGGGACTAAGAGACAAGGAGGAAAGAGGAAGTAGAAAGGAGAGCCAAGATGGAGAGTCAGGAAAAAGCAGTACGCCGGCCAGTTCCCCGGTAAGAGAAATACATAGATCAGCAGAAATGGGTTAATAATTAAGGCAGAGCTAGCCGATAAGAAACAAGTAACCGGGCCAACAGCATTGTATCAAATACAGAGTCTCTGTGTATTATTTGGGGCTGGCATGGCGGCGGGACAAGACCTGCGGCGGCAGGCGGAAAAAACCATACTCGTTACACACAGAGGCAGAGACAGGAGGGCTGAGTGGACTTCCTTTTGGAAGCTTTCACAGATGAGATGTGTAAGCCTTTACAAGTCACATTTTCTTCTTCACTCCAAAAATAATGCAAAGCAGGTAAAAAAGAAAATACAGTAGGTAAAGAGGACAGAAAGGAACGTTGGCTTTGCATTAAAATATACATGGATTCCCATTTCTGATATATTCTGAGATGGAAATATGTGGGCTGCATTATCAGAGTCTTTAAATCCTGGTAACTAACTTGGTAAATTAGAAGAATAATGCTTAAAAGACAGGCCAAATATGAATCATATCTATTAATGCTCAATAACTTCCCAATTTGCTGATTAAATAGCAGTAACTTTTTACTATTATTCATAAAGAGGATCCTGCTCTGCTGGGTTCTGAAGTCACTGATATGAATGTTGGATTTGCAAAATGGGAGGTTTTGGAGGACAAGATGTAAGTCTTAATATTTTTTGGTGTATTTTTAGCACATAAATACTTTGTAAATCATCAACTACCTTAGCGAAATAGAGTGGGAGGATATGTGGAGACACAGAAACATTAAACACGAGAGATCTGTGGGCAATTGAATGTAAATGAGATCATAAGTTCTTGCTAAAATTAAAACACAATGGAAACACTTCAGATCTGTGAATTCTGGCTATGCTCATCATTTCCAATTTTCTGCTTAAGCATGAGCTTAATTAGTATTATTATTTTAAAAATAACTGAACCAAGTAAGCAATAATACGAAACCCTTTGGCAAGTATATCCATGTGTATGACATAAACATGCATGTTTCTTCAAGATGCACATCAACCTATGCAAATTCTTTGTTATGGAAGTAGTGAGATTAGTTAAAAGTTGCCTTTGTGTTGTGTTAGAAAAGATGGTGTTAAGGAGGCCAATAACAGCTCAGCTGCTGAATCGGGGATATGTATGTATGCATGTGATATATATATATATATATATATATGTATATATATATGCATGTGATATATATATAGATATATATATATCGAGAGAGAGAGAGAGAGAGAGAGAGAGAGAGAGAGAGAGAGAGAGAGAGAGAGAGGTAATTTGACCTGTAAAAACACCAGGTCTGCAGACAGCAAAAGGTAGAGTGTGATCAGAGGTGTGGTGAGAATATAAATAGATGGGCATATGGAATGGTCTTTCCTTTCACCCCTGGAGAGTGCTTTCTTCGATTTGCCCATTAATGGATTCAGTAGCATATATAATAAAGAAGAATCATTTTCCTTTATAAACACATCTCCTTCCCATAGCACAGACAGCTGAGTCTCCAAGCAAGAAGATCATGTTTCTCCTTTCTCCACAGGTAGTGTTACATGTGGAAAAATTGCAATGCAGCAGTTTTGCATTGTAAGGTATAACATTTGCAACTCTTTAGTGTATCTGTACAGCCATGACACTTTCAGCTTACTGCATACAACTTTAAAATTACTCGTCCAAAAATGTATGTGGGGATCATTCATTTTAGCATGGACAGAAACTTGCCTACTACACATTACCTGGATGTTCTTGGAAATTTCTAATGGTTACATGTGATAAATTTTCCAGTGATAAAAATTATTCCTACATAAGCTGAATATGTGAAGAATCAATATTTAATTCTGAGGTGAAAAATAAAAAAATGAAAAATGTAGTAGTCACTAGCCAGAAAAGAGAAATGCCTTGGATGAAGTCAGGAGTGAAATACCTTACTTGGGACCAATAAAAAAAAATGCTTCTATGTGAAAAACACGTACATTCATGTGTGAATGTGTGTGTTAATTATGCCACCCAGAATTTCTTTACTAGCTTTAGATCTACCATTATTTATTTTCTCATTAAATGATTGCTGATAATTCAGCTATGTTTGATGCATTTTATTAAGGCAGGTTATTATACCATCATCATATGAGACAACCAAAAGATTATCAGTGTAAAAGTATATCTTTCAATATTAGCTATGTACTTTACACATGCAAGATTGCTTGCAAGTGGATACAAACCTGTATTCATTATTCATGAAAAAATTTCTGTCCTTGGTAGCTTTGCTTTCTGCCTTTTGTCATAATTTAACATTTCAGCCTAGAATTTCAGTCAAATTAAGGTAAAGAGGCTTTGCCTTGTTGTGGATAGATCTGGGAGTTCCCATTTCATTCAGGTCCCATACAGGAACTGGTGTAATCAATATCTGACTTCTCTGCAATTTATCATGTGAGCATTGGTGGGAAGCTCTCCTCCATGGTAAAGTACATATCTAAATTAAAACAACAAAATGTCAATAGGACTATGAAAGAACATATAAATATTGAAGTTTACCTCACACTGACAGAAACATTAGAGAGGAAGTCTTTCAACCCAAGCAATGGGGATTCAGGGCTGAGGAGATAGCCCTGGTGCTGGGCTATTATGCAAGGCTCCAGAATCCATCCCCAGCAACAGTAACAAAATAAATAAACAAGTCAATAAATCAATACAAGTTTATTCCATATACTTCA